AAAAGATAAGAAACCTGATAAATGAAAAAAAAAAAAAAAACTTGAAAACCTTATTTTTTAAATGGTTAAACTAAATGCCTGGTTTTTGGTAATTTTCCCCTAGTCCTAATTATCAAAGGGCCAACGTTGCAAATTATCCAACAGTAAGAGCAAAGGAAAAGACAAATGTCACAACCATTTGGTACTCAAAAATCACTATGATAAAACTAAGACTCTAGTCTAATCACCCACAAACATATTCAATAGATATAGTATCATTCCTAGAGTACAATTTGATGCTTAAACATAAAATATTGTGTACTTGTAGATGGGACAAACACACAAAACAAGTAGAATATGTATACTCCCAATGTGGTAACACGACCACTTGCTTGGTACACAATCCTGTATCAAGCATGTCATAAAAGTGCAGACTAATGAATGAATGCATTAAGCAACTGCTTAACATGTGAAAACCGATAAATTAAATAATATGAGATCAACTGCTTTCATGCCATCACATCATAAAAAGCTACTGCTTCGATTCCTGCTGAGCAGATGTACTGCCACTCTGTTGCTGAGGCCGAGGCTGCAGCTGAGACTGTTGCTGTATGTTCTGTCGAGTTGCCTCCTGCTGGTATAACTGGAACTGCTGGGGGTTAATCGAAAGTTGTTGAAACTTGGAATGATCTCCGCTCAGTTCAGCAGAAGCAAGCTTCAAGCGTTGCACCTCAGCTGTTAATGCTTCATTAAGTGCTGTCACAAGAAAACCAAAATAAGTAAAGAATGCCCATAAAGAATATCATAATCACATTTAAGATCATTTACCATTCACGAATAAACAAGTGACTTTTTCAGAATAATTAGATCATTTTCCTGAGAAGACTGTGTTAAGGACCCAACCATTGATCCCAAAAGCCCAAGCTTAATGGGGATTGGAATCCCGCCCTTTTAGGACCTAACATTACCCCCCGGCCCAAGATCCGACGTCCACGGCGGCCCACTACAAGACAACCTTCGCTTTACCAGCCAGCCCAGATCCGAACTGCTGGCTTTCACAAGACAACCTTCGCTTTACCAGCCAGCCCAGATCCGAACTGCTGGCATTCGGCACTTTGATTGTGTCGCCCCTTCCGGGATTCGAACCCTTGACGTGGGGGTGCTCTGATACCAATTGTTAAGGACCCAACCATTGATCCCAAAAGTCCAGGCTTAATGGGGATTGGAATCCCGCCCTTTTAGACCCTAACAGACTGATCTGACTTGCCAAATCTAACAATGAAGAGGAATGAAGTTCCATGCACAATACCAATAACCAGATCATTTTCACGAGAGAACTTCAAAACTAGATTCTTTATAATACATTATAAAAGCCTATGAACAACTGCTGCAAAGAATCACCATGGCTTAAATAATATCAACCCTAATAGTCCCTTCACAGATCCCACTGTAAAGGCAACAGATTTACTATAGCATAGTTTAGAAAAGGTTCAACTCAGGAACTCAACAGATTCTTGAACTTCTCTTTTTTCTCTCTGTTTTTAATTTCCTTAAAACTTTCTAAGAGGAGAAGGCACTGTGAAATGCTAATGCGACCCACTAGATACTCTTGAGACGAATCTTGTACATAAACGGCTTCTTATTGCATTATACCAACCATTTCTCACATCTCGCTTTTCCCAGGGATGGAATTTATGCTAAAATCTACATTAACGTGTGAAAGAAAGTCCTGCAGTCAAATGTTTCGAGAATAATACAAGTGAAATGTCATTCAGGACGGATCATCGTCGAAACTAACAGAGACGCAATCCTTCCAATTTGTTGCACCAGATGTCCAAAAAAGAAGCAGCGAATCACCTAACTCAAGTGCAATGAGTATAATAGAAAGTAAAAAAAGTATACCATCACGTAGTTGAGCCTGTTGTTCCATAGCTTGCAGACGAAATTTCAGCTCATTGTTGTAGCTCGTCAGTCCAGCAGAGTCCCGCTGAATACAAATAAGAACCACTGTTAAGACACAAAAGAAATATGAAAAAGGCTCGAACCAAAATTGATAATCTCAGCATTAAAAATTATAACCTGCAGCGAAGTAAGCTGGGCCGACAATGTTGTTGCTTCAGTCTGTAAAGTTTGGACCTTGTGTTCCAGCTCAGCAATGTATCTCATCTTGCGCTCCTTTGAACGAGCAGCAGATTGACGGTTTGCCAAGATTCTAATGCAAGGAATATGAACTTCTTAACATTAAAGTTCAATCAAGTATGCACATTAAGTGGAAAACGTATAATGTGCAGATGTCGCATAGCAGAATTCAAGGGTATGTTACCTTTTCGCTCGCTTGGGATCAGATAAAGCAATTTCTGCAAGTTTTTCATTTTCCATAATCTTCTTGATCTCAGCCCCATTAAACTCACCATTCCCAAACTCCAAGTTAAAGTTTGCATCAATTGAATTGGTTGGTGAGAGTTGTCCCAGGCGTGTTCCAGGAGATGGAGGCAATCTTGGTGACTCATCAGTAAAGTTCATGTTCCCTATTAAGCTATCCATGGAGAGACTCCTGCAGTGCCTGGTGGCGGGAGCGATATCTCCTCCAGAACTCCTTTTGATTCCTTCCCTTTTCTCAGTCAGTGAAGATATTCCTTGCTTCCACATATTATTGCCACTCTCATTTACACTGCTTGTGGCTTCATTATCACTGCTATCACCCCCAGTCATCTTTGTACCACTCGCTCTGCTGTCCTCTTCTCGATTCTCATTACCCAGTTTCTCGTCAGTACCAGATGAGTTCAATGTATCAATGTTATCTAAATTCATGTAGGCAGAAAACAGGTCATCCACAACTTCCCCTTCAGATTTCCTCTCCCCCATCCCTTCTGCATTGCTGTCAACATGTTTCTCCCAACAAGACTCACGTTTAACAAGCTGCACTGGCTTAGCCCCTAAATTCTCTCTTGTGGATGCTGACTTCTCAAAAGCACCAGGATTCCACGGCGGATTAGATGACAACTGAGGTTGCGTCAAAGTAGAAATTCCAAATGGGATATCACTATTGGACCTTCTGTGTGCCTTACGTGGAAGCACAGTCTCCGCTGCCCTTGACGCACTACCTCTTGTGAAAGGTGAGGGAGGCAATAACGAATGTGAATTAGCATCCCTCTCCTCCATTGAAATATCACCAGACACTTGGTCCGCCAATGAAGAGGACAGTGATTCCTGATAAGGCAAAGGGCTCAAAGGAGGCAAGGAATCGAGGGAGAAAAATGAAGGTTGGGACAAAGATCGCGAGTGTGACTGCCCCGGACTAGGACTAAGATTCTGCTGACCCTGTTGCGAATACTGGTGATGGGTTCCAGGGATCTGCGAGTAAGGCGAACTACGGGGCATTTGCGGATGAGAAGGTGGTATCCCAACCCTCTTACTACTATTCTCAACACCAAAATTGGGAGAGAATTGACGCATCTGACCACGAGATTGCAGAGCGTTCAACTGTGGTATGTCTAGTTGATTTATTGGAATGGACTGCTGTTGTTTAGAAAGAGAAGATGATGATGTCCCAACTGATGATTGAAGTCTTTGTATATAATCACCATTAACTTGCTCAATATCACCACCCATTTGCTCAAAAATTACTCAAACTCACCACTCTAAATTTATTTAACTAAAATTCAAGAATATTCATTTCAACCCACCCTCAATTCCAAAACGAACATAAAACACAGATGAAAATAATCTTCAATACACTAGAACCCAAATGAATCAAAAAATCGTGATCTTTACAAAACTAAACAAGCAGATTAACAAATAATTAAACTAAGCATTGATATTTCAAAAAGACAACAAAAAAGCACTTTTACCGACTAATTTTTTCAAAGGGGTCGAAGCATGTCAACAAGAGTTTATCCCCACATTTGGCGGTGAAGTGTCCCTACACAGTGGAGACGAAAACAGCAACGCTGAAGCCAAAATCTCTGCTGGAGTGTTTATCCAAGTGATTATTTGTTACTTTCTCTCTCTTAAAGTCACTATTTTCTCTCTCTGTGATATGATGCGTGCAAGTATTCCATTACACTTCTACGCTGCTTACACACAACTGAAATACGCGTGAATTTAATATGAATTTCAATTTCAATTTGAGTTAAATTTGCATTTGGGATAAATTTCAACTTCATTCCGACCACATTTGGCTATTCCCCGCAACTTATGCAGCAATCTCTGCGTGTTTTTGTCCAGTAACTCGTTTTTAAGCGCGTCAAACAACTCGCTTGATTTTCTTTGTTTTTTTATGGAAGGTGGTGTACAATTTCTATCAAAAGATGGGGATAAAACAAAACACATGCACACACACAGAAATATCTCAATATTGTGAATTTTTTGATATGAAATAGAGGGGAAAATAGCAGCGCAACTCCCCAATTTATTGCTCTTATTGCACTTTTGTCCCTATCCTTTTATATAGAATACTTTGGTCCTTCATATTACACTTTTATGTAGAATGAAAAAATGATCCAATCCCGTCCCAACGCCCTGCATCTTAATGGTTCGACGAAGCCTCGTCAGGTTGGGTAATTGAGATGGGGACAAGGACAGGGACATTGATCGTACGAAACCTATAAACGTACGAGATTGTTAATAAGTAATAGATTAAGTGAGTTAAGAATATCGTCCCACATGGAATAAATTTCAATTCAAATTTACTAGTTTTGTATGAAATTCAAATTATGTAACGTAAAAGTGATTTTTATTTGATTTATTCTTAATTATTTTAGGCAATTATGTAAAACTAGTGTTTGTATCAAATTATGGATTAGAGTTCGCTTATTGTTATTTATTTCAATTCTTGATTTGTAATCTAATTTTATTTATTTCAATTCTTGATTTGTAATCTAATTTTATTTATGAGTTCTTGACAATCGATAAAGTTAATGTATTTAACTTTCTTTTTCAAGATAAATTAATTATATTCTAATCACGATTCAAGTCTATTTATAATACGATTTCGAATTATTAGAATGCATTAAATTTTAAATTTTCTATATGAGTGTACATGTGTTAAATGTTATTTCTAACATCTATTACACATATGTTAGTTATGCAGCATTCTAAACTTATTGTGAATCTTTGAACACTACAACAAGCAACTAATTATCTCATTATTAGCTATGCAATTAAACAATGTAATGTGTATATAAAATTAATCAAGAAATGCAAGAAATATTAAACTACTATTCTTGAGTTAAAATAAATAAACAATATGGTTCATTTTCATCCAATACAAAAGAGATTAACCTAGAATTATTTTATATACAAAAAAAATAATGGAAAAATATCACTTGAATCATGAATTAATACAAAAAATGTTGATCATCAAGTCCAAGGTTGAAATTTTCAATTTCTTGATGTAATTAGCCTTCAATTCTTGTTAGAGTTTGATCTCTCCTCTCAAAAGTGATGAATTTGTATTTTTTTTTAATTGATGAATTTGATGATATAATATGGTAATTAGAGGCTAGAGGGAGGTATCACATGTTTTGGCCAAGTTTTGTATTTATAGGAGCCAAAAATCAGGTCAAAACCGTGTTACAATTAAAATACAAGAAGAATTTCAATTCAAAAAGAAATTGCGCCATAGGTCCTTGGACTTCCCTGTGTGCGTGCGTCATGGTCCTCAATGCATGTGCACCGTGTTCTCACAGGTTAGCCAAAATGGTGGCTCGCGCGCGAGGAAAATTTGATATGTGTAGTCATCAGTGTTTTTATCTTAATTTTTTTCTCCCGATATCCATCTGAGGTAATTCAATGTGTGTTAGAAAGTTAGGTCAAAGGCTACAATTCTTTTAGAAATTGCATTTTTCCAATTCGAACTTTTGCAATGTGAAAAATGAGTCTTAGTCTCAGCCTGAAAATCTGGAGCATAATTTTTTGGATGGAAATTCATTATGTTCCAATTTTTCATTCATTTGACTTCTAATTGCTTCCAATTGATCTTATGGAACCTTTAAGAATCGTTTTATGGTCTGAATCAACTTAGATGCTTGCACTTTGTTATTCGAACTTTGAATTTATCTCGTTTTCATCTTTTTTGTTCCAAGACGTTGTACATCAAGTCTTCGAGTTAAAATTTCCTTTTATACAAATAAAAACACTTAATTTAAGAAATTTAATTTATCAACACAATTTTTATCGAAAGGGATCAAGTGAAGTATGTACATGTTCAATGCATGAAATAGAGTGCCCATTTGAGTAAATTATATAATTGGTGAGTGGTGGTGGTGTGTATGTGCTATATTTATAAAAATATTTTGCCAATAAAATAAAGTTCATATGTATTAAAACTCTTCAATTATAGAGCAAAGCATTCAATGTGCAATTATTTTTCGAGATTCTTGAGATCATGCACAAATTGATATTGTGAAACTTCCATAAAATTTGCTTGGTTCCAAGGATGGTAGCCAAGTCAAGATAAGCAATATACAAGTGATAGGCGAGTGAAGAAGCTAGATCATCGAAGGCAGACTACATGGGAGACATGCATGGATTCATATCTCCTATGCTAAGAGTTGTAGGATGTAGTCAGTGACAGTGACAGTGACATGATGCTGTCAAGAGGCGTGGGCACTCTAAGGAAGTGGAAAATAAAGTAGGCTAGGTTATGTTCGTAATCAAGACAACAATCAATGAGGAGCGGTTGGAACATTTGTGGACACAAGCACATCAAAGGAAGCATGAGCACTTTCGTAGCACCTTTCTTTAAGAAAATAATATGAGATTGCAATTTCTGGAGGACAAGCTATAATTTATCTCAAGGAGAGATGACAATACACAAATATTAAGGCCAAATCTCTTTATCGTGGATCTCTAAATTAGAAGCTATGAGTAAAATTCTAGAACCGGCTATGATAAGAATTAGAGTACATGGATTGAGACTCGAATTTAAGTGTTTCATTGCCAAAATACGAAGTTGACCAAAGTAACAGTAGTGGTCAATCTAAAAAATTTGTTGACTCATTAGGAAGCGTTGATCAAGCAATTCTTAAGGCCTTACTAAAGAAAAAAGATGAAGCATTATTTAGTTTTTAAAGAAAAGGTCGACCCTAGGAACAAACTAACAAAGAATCAAAAGAAGGCGTAAAAAAATTTCTCAAACAAAGGAAGCCCAACAAAATTGCAACAAAAGAGGCTAGTCATCAAGGGATATAGATGAACTAATGGCTCGTGCTTTGTATGGAGAAAATGAAGCCAATGTACTAGAGATCACTAGTTTAGTGAAAAATCAACAGTAGGTAATATAGTAACCTCCAAGATTGAGAAAAATATAATAGTGATGAAGAGTGGAAATATGAAGTGTCGCTTGCAATAACTCAACAGACTCATGAGAAAATATGAAATCCAAACCTTGAGGAAGAATCAACACTAGTAGTGGTGTCTCATATGAATAGATTATGAAAATGATTGGATCATTAACCTGGAATGTTCTATCACGTGGCGGCAATAAGGAGAAACTACAAAATATAACAGAGTACAAAGGAGGTCGAATGGTGGTAAATGCCAACAGCTCGATATTGCCAATAATGCCTCGTCGAGATAGTTGTCATGGCTTATTTTAGTCCTAGTGAGGCGAAACTACAAAACATCTGTCATGTGTCAAGAATGAAGAATAATCTCCTATCTATGGCTTATCTAACACCCTAAGGTACCTATGTTTTGTTTAGACCGAAAAACATCAATGTATATCAAAATATCAAAATCTTGGATTCACCAATAATGGAGGAAATGTCACAACGACAACCATTTGCAACATGTAAAAGGCAACATTCGGTAATTGAGTGTTGTTAAAGGTGTCTATCACAACATTCTAATAAGTAAATGTTGCAATTGGTTAACATAATTTGGCAACATTTTTTAAATGGATATTGCTAATGTCGCCTTTTGCAACGTTTATTGAGTGTTGTCAAAAATTTTATTTATTGTAACGTTTATCGGGTGTTGCTAAAAAATCGTTTTATAACAATGTTTACTGGCCGTTGCTGATACTTAGATATAATGTTTCGCAATGTTCGCTTAATGTTGTTATAGGATTATATTTTTGTAACATTTTATAAATGTTGCAAAAAGGTAAACTTATCGCAACATTTATTAAACGTTGTTAATATGATTGTGTGGACTAACTTTTCACAACATTTGTCAAGTGTTGTTAATATAGACGTTCGCAACATTAGTTGGACGTTGCTAATAAGGTTAAATAGGCTAACCTTTTGCAATATTTATAAAATATCGCAAAAATATGATTATATTTAATTTCTGGTCCATTTAAAATAGTCCATCAAATTCGATCCCAACCGCCCAAATTCCAACCCAATTCACACTCACACTCACGATTGCAGAAGCCAAACGATTGAAACCCTAGCGCCTCAATAGCCTCTCACGAACCCAGAAGCCACAATCCTCGCGCCTTAACCGCGTCGTCGTGCTCAAGTTGTCATCATTTTTGAAGTCAATTGTCGGCCTTACTATTTTCTTCTCTGGTATGTAGATTCTTTACCGGTATGTTCTATCTTCTAATTTCTCTATTTTATGTTTATCTTGGTTGGTTTGTGTAATTTCGGTTCAATCAATTA